CATACGACAAGATAATAGTGTATTTGGGCAGGTGGGGGAAAGGGGAGGGGCGGGGTACATACTTACAAATGAGTGAGATGTGGGGCACCCATCGGGGGATAAAATGTCAGCTGGAAACTCAGACTTAGGGCGAGAGCAATTTATTGAAACCGTTATAATTCTCCTGTAACCCCCCCATAATATCATGCTGAAATAAAAACAAACAATGCAAACAAAAACCAGATAAGCTCCAAGCCCTTAGTGAAGGAACTTAGAAACCTTGGAAACCTGAAGATTAGCTGTTTTTCTGAGACAGATCTCCTCATCTCAAACTGTAAGGAATTCTTTGGTTTATAAGAGAAATATTTAATTTCTAAATACAGGAATGAAGGTCCACAAGGAGAAACCACTTCCTAATGCTACATTATAGTTTGCTAGAAACAATGTTTAACTCCTTCGCGCCTCAATCTACAGCGTCTGCCCTTCATCAAGTGTTTCTCTTGAATGTGTCCATTAACTTTGTTAGTGAATGAAGAATGTATAGATAACAGTAGTACTAGGATTGCTTCAGAGAATGCTAAGTGGCTTTTATTGCACCATCTATCTCTCTTGGATATCTGGTAAGAAGGGTGGCCACAAGGGCCAAACTGATCCATCTAATTTTTATAATATTTGTGAGTATGATATTATCATCTATATTGTAAAATTTCATAATTGCATTTACAAACAACACTCGTCTGCTCATAGTCATAGAACTCCAGCCTTCCCAAGGGCATAAAGGAGAGCCAGGAATGACTACCACCAATTAAAAATACGGAGCTTACAGTACTTTCACTGAGACTTGTCAGCTCCTCATATTAAGTTTGAAACCAAATCAATAAAGCCACAAATAATAATTTTACTCTCATCAATGTCATTTTGATCATTTATCTCCACAGAACAACGGTACAAAGAAGGATGGCAATAGCAAGTGCCTTCAACACCGACTTCTCAATCGTGTAAGCCAAGAGAATCGCGGAGACTGTACACAGGGGTGTTTAAGTATATCTCAGCCAGCAGGACACACACCGAACCCAGGGAGAATGGCATCTGCCAGAACCACATCACACTTGACTCTGTAGCTTTGTCATAAGTTTCTCTTTAAAACTGCCATCTTACAAGCTTTCTAATATACGTCAGAATATTCCCACCATGATTGTGAAAATATGACCCAAATAACATCCTTTGAAAATTTTATATACTGCTTGTTGATCAGTTTCACATAAAGATCTCAGTCCTTTATGTAAAAGATGTGGAATAAACTTCAAAATTTAATAGCAGATGTGTTTGGCTGGGATGAACCAGAATGAAGCTGAAGATGCCAGTAGCGTCACGCTCATGAATCCTCTCTGGACAAAGTTCATCCCAGGTTGTCCTCATGTTCATCCAGTGGCTGTATTCTGTGGGCCACACCAGCACCTTCCCGCAAGTCCCAGAGCTAAAGTAAGCACTCAGTTGCATCAGCAGGAGAACTGAAGCCAATTTCATAGCCATCTTGGTGAAATGCAATGCTTTTTATTCGAGTTGCTGGTCCTTTCTGTCATTTCTTTATGCTTATAACCAAGGGTTAATTAATCAAGGTAAAATTTAACTCCTGCATTAAAAGTAAGTCCATCCTCTGAGCAGTCTGAGTGTGGCTGGCAAGTGGACAAAGCAAAGGCAGATGACTTCGTGTTCACTCAAGTGTGTTTAACGTCCCTTTCTGTTTATAAGTGCATTAATCCAGCTGACTTTGATGACCTTGCATATGCAAGTAACATGTCTTATGTCATATATTTTAGAGTTCTGTCAAAAATAGTGGCAGGTGAGAGGCTCCTGGGTCTGCAGTCCCGTGACACAGAACTATAAATAAAGTAATCATATAGCTGAATCAATATTTCTCGCATATCATGGTTCAAATATTTTTTTGTAAAACTGTTTTGATGTATAATGCACATACCATATTATTCACCATATTGTTTAAAATTCAATATTTCTTAGTATATTCACAGAATTGTGCATCTACTACAACAAATAGTTTTATCTCCTTAAAAGAAACCCTGTGTACTTTTGCTTTTATCTCCCCACTCTGCATTTCCCCATCCTGTCTGCTCTAGGTAATCATTAATTTAATTTTTATATCTGTAAATTTGCTTTTTCTGGACAGTTTGATAAAGAGAATAAAAAATATGTGGTCTTCTGTGACTGACATTTTTCACTTAGCATAATGTCTAAAGAGGATCATCCATGCTATTTTTTATTGCCAAATAGTATTCCATAATATGGATATAAATATTTTATTTATTCATTTATCAAGTGAAGGACATTGAGTCTGTTTGGTTTTTGGATTTTATGAATAATGTGGTTAATCAGCATTCATGCACAAGCTTTGCATCGACATATTTTAATTTCTCTCTCCTTCTGTATATGCCTATAATAATACACACTGTCGCTATCTTTGGGCAATTGCAACTGGGTTTCCACATTCCGGCTCACCTTATTTTCCATCAGCCTCCCAACTAGGGGCTCACTCTATTTCTC